ATCATAATAACTCTTCTGAAGGCTTTGTGCTTTCTTCAGCCGATCTCTAATCATCTCAATTTGTTCTGTAGTCTCTTGGACCAATTCTGGTCCTTGTAATTTCCTTTCTCCAATCTTCGTCCAACAGGTAGGTGTCCTACACCTACGGCCATACAAGGCCTCATAAGGAGCCATGCCCAAGCTGGCGTGATAACCGTTATTGTAGGAGAACTCAATCAATGGCAGGTACTTGTCCCCAGCATTTCCCTGCTCTAAAACACATGCTCTCAACATGTCCTCCAATTCTGAATGGTTCTCTCTGTCTGACCATCCGCCTGCGGGTGGTATGCCGTACTCAATCTCAATTAAGTACCAAAGGCCTCATGCAATGCTTCCCAGAAGCGTGAAGTAAACTTCGGATCCTTATCACTGATTATACTTTCGGGAATGCCATGAAGTTTCACAATCTCTCTGACATATAGTCTGGCTAGCTGCTCTGTGGAGAAGGTTGTCTTGACTGGAATGAAATGGGCGAATTTAGTCAACCTATCAACCACAACCCATATAGAATCAAATCCAGCCTGACTTCTCGATAATCCGACAACAAAGTCCATGGACATACTCGTCCACTTCCACTCCGGAATATCTAATGGCTATAACAAACCAGAAGGCTTCTGATGCTCAATTTTCACCTTCTGAAAAATAAGGCACTTCTTCACAAACTGAGCTATGTCTTTCTTCATCTCAGACCACCAAAAATTCTGTTTCAAATCTTGGTACATCTTAGTTGCACTTGGGTGGATGGTGTACTTACTCATATGGCCATCTGTTAACACTTCTTCCACCATTGGCTTCTTCGAAACAATTGTAACACCCCGTGTTAACCCGGTTTGTTAACATGTCATCGTATTAAGCCACGCTTAATTAAAATTTGTGAAATATCTTTTTCTGTTCAATTATGACGTCATTATCATTACCAAGTTGGATTATCAAAATCATTTTCAAAACATTGCATGTATGTAAATTGCAAATAGACAGCTAACTGAAATACCTCATAAATAAATAAGTGAGTATCTAAGTCACGGATCTACAACACGTAGCCCGGGCATAATCCTGATACAATTACACAACTTGAAACAACTAAAAATATAAGGTCAAGTCAATGTGGCATGGACAACCCCCATGCTCACCAAATAAGGCAACAACGCCCAACAGCAGTCTCAAATCAAATAACATGACAGTAAAGATAAAGCAATGTCAACATCCAGCAAAATCATCATAATAGCATGCAATCAGCTAAGCTCCGGCCTCTTGCCGCTAGAGGCCTCAACCCCCGCATTACCTGAACCTGAAATATGTGCCCCAAACGTGGGGTGAGATCTCTAAACAGAAATCTCAGTAAGACAAGGGGTCCTCAAGGATCTTCCACCACAAGCTCACTTACATGTGCAATATAAGTTCCAAAAGCAGTAATTCAATATCAGTTCTAAAATCAGTGCAATGCAGCAGATAACATGTCATGTGTGTTATAGCTATTCTACTGATCAGAGAAGTGCAGGAATACGTCTATTACCCACACAGTACACGCCAATGTTGCACCCGCCTCCAGGACCACCCCAAGGCCTCTTGGCTAGGCGAAACACCACATACATATCATAAGCATTTTGCACTTAACAGCTCCATAGCATTTCAATAAAACAATACATGAAAACACATAATGCATATAAACCATCCCCCGATGGGACATGGTGGAACATACAATGGCTAAACCGAGGACAAGAAAGCTTACCTTGCAAGCTAGCTATCCAAGCCAAGAGTCCACATAAGCTCAAGGTCCACACACAGCACAATCACAATTTGTTAGGACCAATAACAACATCAATATTTATACTCTACAAGCATACGATATAAAGACAACGTTTTCCTTTGCGTTCCAAGTCTTAAGGCTTCTCACAAAGCCACAAGCCCTTAATCACTTGATTCTGACTTAGTTTAATTATTACAGAAGTTCAACTTCATCAATCTAGGGTCCACAAACCCCAAACACAGTTCTGTATGAACAGTACCGTTACTGTTCACGCAAGCCCAGAATATCCGGATATATATCGGGGACATATCCGGATATCCCATATCCGGATATCACATATCCGGATTTCACGAGACCCCATATCCGAATATCATATCTGGATATTTCGCTACAGAATGCAGATTCTGCATTTCGCAATATATGCATTAAAGGTTGTATTTTTAACACTTTTAAACGTCCAAGAACCCATTTTTAAGCATCTAAAGGTTCATGTACGTGATGGTTACTTGTTTAACTCATTAAACATGGCAAAACTCCGCTTTTACCCATTAAAACTCATTATCAAAGTTGATGAACTTACCCAAGGCTCTCAAAACAGAACAAGGAAGGCTCTTGGAGCTCACTATGCAGCTCCCAAAAGGCTGACTACCAAGTGCACGAAAATGAGCTTCAAGATGGCTCCTTTCTTCACAAAGGTTGCTTCTTGGAGCATCAACAAGGCAAGACAAAGGCTCTCTAAACCAAGTTTATGAACTCAGCCCCAAAGCTCAATAAAACAGAGACCCAAACTCAGCAAAGAAGCCACCCACAACCTCACAAGACCAACTCACACAAGGCAATGGTGTTTTGGTAGAGAAACCAAGAGTAAAAATGGCCATTTGGCTCAAGGGAGTGAGGGAAGGTGAAGGTGACAAGAGGAGAGACACTCAGCTGCTGGAGAAGTCAGAAACTCACGCATAAGGCACAAGGGATTGCCCTAGGATCATATGCCAAGGCCATATACAGGCCACTTAAGTTTTAAACGCATTGTATTAGCACTAATAGCTACGCTTAGCATTTTAATCCCAAACTTAGGATTTTGAACCTACTCATTTTTCTAAGATTTATTTTATTTTTATCTTATTTTTCGCAGCACCTTTTCGGTAAGCGCTTTCCCATAGCCAGTATCAGTTCTGGCACCAGTTCTCATTATTTTAACTTGAAACTTGTTTTATAAGTCCTATATATTATTCTAGTGACATATATGCACTTTTCATAATTTTCTAGGATACTTCATCGGTACGCATTTATACCGAGTAGCAGAACCGGTATCTGCACTTTTCGTCAGAAAAGCGACTTTCAGCATTATTACTCACTTACCATAATTATTTAAGCCTCAAAATAATTATTAGGTTCAATTATAGAATTATTTCGTAATTTCACACAATTAATTAATTAACTTCCTTAATTAACGATGCGGGTTCTCACAACAATCAACCGATCTTTGTAGTATTTCACATTAGAAGCATCAGTAAACACAAAATCTTGCCGTTTCATCATTTTAATCCCTTCATCAAGCACTTGGGCCACTTTAACTCTCTCCATTAATGAATTTCAGACTTCAACCATAATCATGAAATATGAAGTCTCAAGTGGTGTCACAAAAATTCTCAAATCCCTGAACTCCTCAATCAAATCATACTCTGCAATCATTATGCTAGCCACACCTATGGTCTTTCTGCTCAAGGCATCAGCCACTACATTCGCCTTTCTAGGGTGATACTGAAGATCAAACTCATAATCCTTCAGGAATTCCATCCATCTTCTTTGCCTCATATTAAGCTCCTTCTGACTAAATAAACTCTTAAGGCTTTTATGATCACTGAAAACCGTAAAGTTAGCACTGTACAAGAAATGACGCCATATCTTCAAAGAAAATACTATTGCTGCCAACTTAAGATCATGAGTAGGGTAGTTCTCTTCATGTGGTCTCAACTGTCTCGATGCATAGGCCACTACCTTTCGTTCTTGCATCAATACGCACTCTAATCCATACTTGAATGCATTACAATAGATCTCAAATCTCTCTTTCGGGTCAGGAAGAATCAAAACTGGTGCGGTAGTCAACCTGTCCTTCAATTCTTGAAAGCTCACTTCACATCCAAGGGTCCATGCAAATGGCACCCCTTTTCGGGTTAATCTCGTCAATGGCAAAGCAATCCTTGAGAATCCATTGATAAACCGCCTGTAATATCCTGCTAAACCCATAAAACTCCAGACTTTAGTAAAATTCTTGGGTCTCTCCCAATCCAACACCACTTCTATTTTGCTTGGATCGACAGCCACTCCTGCAGATGAAATGACGTGACCAAGAAACTGGATCTCATGCAACCAAAACTCACACTTGGATGGTTTAGCATATAACAGATGCTCCCTCAAAATTTGCAAGACTATCTTCAAATGCTCTGCGTGCTCTTCTTTGTTCTTGGAATAGATCATAATATCATCAATAAATACCACTACAAACTGATCTAGATGTGCTTTGAAGATCCGGTTCATATAACTCATGAACACTGCCGGGACATTAGTAAGCCCAAATGAGATTGTAATAGTCTTTATATTCATAATTTTTTAAGATTTCAATACCAAAACGATGTCGTTTTAAAAATAAATGCAGATAACTTATCTACAGTAACTGCAGAAATATTTTTCCCTTAGAATAAAATGACATAATTGTCTATAATTTAAAACTTTCAAAAATAGGTTTTTGTCCAAAAAAAATATGAATGTTGCTGCCCTTCGAATAATTGTGTAAGTTAATATTTTATATAAATAAATATTAGTATTAATAATATTATGTTAATAAAATTATCGCAATGCAGACCACTGCAGAGTGCAGACCAACACTGCGGGCTTTCTCAAGAACATATATGACTAAATTATTTTCATGCAAAATCATTCATTTGAAAACTAATTTAACATCACCAATCTTTTTGAGAATCAAATCAATTTTGAAAACATTATGAAGACTAAATTGCGGGAGTTTTACTCTTAAATTTAGAATAACTGTAGCTACTTGTTGAATGACTTTAAGAAACAGCAAACGAGGGTTATATAGCTTTATCAAGCCACTAACAAAAATTATTCTTTAAAGAGAATGAAATAAAGAAAAAAATTTAAAATAAATAATGGAAAAGAATAATTTCAAAGTGAGTATTATAAATGAAAAACCATAAATAGTCTAAATTGGAAAAATTTTGACCAATTTAGCTCTTTCAAATTTTCAATGCTCATATACATCTAGATGAGAGAAAGCTGAAGTTTTGGCCAGTTAAGCTGACACTTAACAACCTCCATGTGAATTTTGACTTTCTGCAACATGCTGTATGAAAGACTACCATCAATCTTTTTAATCTTCTGCTGTTGCTCATCTACATACCATTCTCCACCTCCCTTTTCCGCTCTTGGTGTCAAATATACAGGTCCAGTTATGCCATATCTGTAGAAGAAAATATGTCACATCCAAACTACAAATACTTGATTCAGTGCTTAATGTTACTAAAATAGCCTTCAGTTAGATAATGAAAACATTCTCTTTCCATAATTTTGTCCTCCTTATTCACTCTTTCGTAGGTTATATTATATGAAAAAGGAAAATAGAAAAGGAAAGAGACAAGATACATTACCTGGGAACAAACACAAAAAATCCATTAGATCTTATTTTCACTATCCTAGCCTCCTCATCTGTTGGACTGCACGACAAAATATAGAAAACTCAATCATAAGCTGTGAGTGCAAATAGAAAACAGTAACAGTAAGGGAGGGGAAGCTACGTCACGTACTACCTGAATTTATCGAGAGCATGCAGTTCCTTATCGGCCCGCTCTGCCATCTGAGCATTCCTGTGCCTTTTATTTAAATCTAAAACACAATATAGGTAAAAAGAACTATTAAGATTAAATACATGTGTCACAACAAAAGAACAAAACCATTAGATTCGTAATGCATATAGTTATCCTAGATAACGCTTCCATTATAAAGACATAAACATAAAATAATCAAGTTCTAATTATATCATGAAAGACATACTGTCTGCAATACTAGTGAGCTTCCTGTCTTGAAATTTGGATGGTAACTTGGATATTCCTAAAGAAGCAGCAAGAAGCCGGTGCACGACAACATCTGCTAGGAAAAATGTTTCATCTCTTATTATTGTGCAAATTGACCAAGTAAACATATTATACATATAAGGGATGCATACCTGCATATCTTCTTATAGGTGATGTGAAATGGGTATATAGAGGAGCTGCAAGCCCATAATGATGATATTCTGGAGGGCTAAGATCCCCACTGCAGAAATAAACTGCCTACAAAACAAAAGGAAAATCTATTTTCTCCCACAAATTCCAAATCTGAGTTCTCTAATTCAAATTCAATTTACCTGACTCATGCATCTAGTTGCCATTATGCGGATTAGCTTATTGAAGTATGGATCATCACCCTGAAAAGGTATATGGTAAAAGAGGGATAAAGCATTTGAGACAAAATAAGATCCTTGAAAATTAAATGCCTCAGCTAGCAATGTCTGATATATTATATATTGAAAATGGAAAACAATAAAACACAAGAATAATGAAAAAAATATAAATAGAAAATGAAATATTTACCACGGCATGATCAAGAGAATCAGCCAATGCTTTTGATGATGATACATCTAAGTGCAGACCAACTGCAGCAGCAGTACGTTGCAAGGGTTCAAGCATCTCTTTAGTTGGAGCTGGATGTCGCCTACACAAAAACAAGAATAGCAATTACATCATCTTGTCCAATGTAAATGTTTTAGAAGTTTTTATCATGCAGAAGCATTAAATGCTTCTAATCAATGGTTTCACATGCTTGGGAAGGATATAATTCTCAATAATCACATTTCATTTAGAGGAGGAAGAACTCATTTTACAAAAAAGCATGGTCCATTAACATTACAACTAAAATCCCTTCCAATTTAATTTAGCAAATATCCAACTCTCATCCACTAGTAGGTATTGTTTAAATTTAGAAGATTATACAAGTCACTAAGGTTATTGATGCAGAACTAAAATGACCTTATTTAAGTTGTGATAATTTAGGGATTTCATTTATCTTAGGATGAGCTAATTCTATTTTAATTTTATTTTGATTAGGATTTGGTTTGCGTGTATGAATATGATCTAGTTTTTGGATTTGATGAGGATTACACTTCACTATACTGTAAAAGTTATAATTATCCCATTTCGATTTTTTTTACTGGTATCTGTTAGAAAACCACCTATTGCTAAGGTATATATTAGGGAGAAGCAGAGAGGATCCGGGTCTCTCAAGGAGGGAATAGTTAATGTAACGGATAGCAAGAAAGGAAATCAAGGGGAGTTGAGATTTCAGGGAGGGAATGGTTACTGCAACGGATTGCCAGTGAGACCATCAAGTGGAATTAGGAGGGGAAAGTTCGACCAGTATGGATATAAAAAGGGGGAGTGAAACGTGGGAGAGAGAGGGAGGGAGGGGGGGGGGGGAATTCAATCAAAGACTAAGGTGCATCCTAGACTCTCGTGGGTGGTACATCAGTTATGCTTTGTGATTTTCATTCTATTTTTGCCCATGAAAATTGTAAAGAACCAATTCAACCCAAAAGCTTAAGCTATTAGGTTAGGGCCCATCTATATACTTCTCTAAGGACCTGTTTGGTGTGATGTATAAGGCCTGATAGTATAAGCTTATACTATACGTTATGACATTTTCAGTTGTTTGGTGTGACAATCGTATAGTATAAGCTTATACAGCAGGACCCCTCTATACATCAAAATGATGTATAACTTAATCCGGCCTAGGAGTGGTGGATTAGGCCTAATAAGGGGTTGATGCATTAATATTGCTTACAAGTACAATTCCCAAGAACTAATATATCATTTCAACATTTATATATTAAAATAAATTTGTTTAATATATTAATTTTTAAAATATTGGAGGATATTATCTTATACAATATCATACCAAACGCTGGATAGTATTAAAATTTAATCAGGTCTTATACTATCAGGTCTTATACTATCAGGCCTTATATTATACTATGCACCAAACATGCCCTAATACGCCCCTTCACACGAGAGCCCACTCGGCATGAAGGGTGGATAATGCACAAGCTCACCTACCTGTGTTAAGAAATTCCGCAAGAGAAAATGGGAGTTGGTGAAGATTAAACCCGTGACACAGAGACTCTGCTACCATGTAAAGAACCAATTCAACCCAAAAGCTTAAGCTATTAGGTGAGGGCCCATCAATGGTTTATATACTTCTCTAATAGAAATCTTATGCACTAGCCCATGAAATAATAAATTACTTAAATGTACCAAATGCATATTCAATTTGATTTATAATCCTCAATTCACCTATTAAGTTTTTTAATTGACATGGAAGAACAGAAAAAAAAAATGAAAGAAAGAGAGACACGCAAAGTAAAAGGAGGTAAGAGTACCATTCAGATATACCGTAGAACCATTAGTAGACAGTATAAAGGCAGTCCCTCCCAAGAAAAACAGCCATTTCAAAACTAAATGTGAAAAATTCAGATAAAAAAAAAAAACCTTAATAAGGAGCACAAAGGAAAACTTTTAACAATTTGTTGTGCAACGGAAACATTAGCAGCAATCATAAACTCCTCCACCATTTGGTTGGCTTCCCGGAACTGGTACATGCCTGCAAATATAATCAAACAATACAATTAATTTAAACAATAAGGAAAGGAGAAAAACAAAACCCTGCTGCTTTTGTTTTCGTCTCCTTTTATGAAGGAGTAGCTGAACTTAAAGTAAAATAGAAAACCATCAACCTCAATAGCTGTCCTACAAAATATCGAATTTAACTATAGATACAACTAAGCATCCTTAAAAGAAAGCAATTAAATTACTGTTGAAATTTTGGGGATTAGATGGAAACAGAAAACGAGAAATATAATTCAATAATGAAATAGTTGTCATATGTAATAAAGAACCACAGCCTATTCACTTATAATCTAGGCTGAATACAAGTGTGGTAGTACAAGTCTGGCTCCGTAACACTCACAACATACTAACTGAATATAACCTAAACTGAATAATACTATTTAACATAGATCACCATATATTATAACGATTGCAATTTCAACTCATTAAAGTTTCTGAAGATATCAAAATTTCAAAAACTTATACTCATGAGGTCTCACTAATATATGAACTTACTCAGAAACCATTCTTCCAAAGCAAGGATCTAGAAAAACAGGTTTAAAGTGGAAGTCTTACCAAGAAGCAACGAGGAACCATATATTTGAAGTGATTATCCTTCAGCAGATATATAAAAATCACAAATTCATAATTAGGGATATTTAATTTCAAGGATGGCTAAAAGTTCAAATTATTAAGAACCATCCAAAATTTATTTAGGAAGGGGGGCCATTTCATTTCAATTAATGGGCAAAAACACAACTAAATTGGTAATACTTACTACTCAGGCTTACAACTAAGTGGCTAATGGTTGTTGTTAGTGATAAGTTCCTGATTTCTAGCCTGATTATTGGGAACAGGAAGATTAATCTGATTCTTTTTCTTTAATGTAGAGCTAAATGTAGTCATTGGTTCATATGTTTTTGGGATTTCCCATCTGTATTACGCAGCCATATTGTATAAAACAAAATAAGGAAAAATACAATGTTTTCCTCATGGTATCAGAGCATGATCACAGCCACAGTAGACTACAACTCCATCGTTGCTTCATCCATATCCATACCAACCCGATCGAAGGCCCTGCTCTTCCTATCACTGGCCACAAACTGAACAACAGAACTTCATCCAATGGGCCAGCATGAAAACTTGTTATGGATGCAATTGATTGAATTTGCAATTAAGGCTCATCAGCTGCAAAGACTCTGGGTAAATCCTCAAGTTCCTCTTCACTATGCCACAGAAGATTATTGAATCAATGGTAGAGTCAGCATCGCCTAAGCAAATTGGGGGATGGAAGACCAAATGTCACTCCTGGATTCTCTCTTCACTTTCTGAGAAAATTCTCACCAAGATCATAGGTGTAAATAGCAGCACTATCGTGCGGTATAGCAAAGAATTATAGTTAGGATTTCTTCCAGGAGCAAAGAAAGCAACAATGTGAGAAGCATTGGATCATTTTCCTCCCAGTCTGCATACGTTTTGCATTTAACCTTCCATTGGCACGCTCTTCTTCGGATTTCAAACAAAGAGGAATTCTTGAAGAGCTGAAGTTTACTTTGATTGGAGGCTCTATGATTTGCTTCCATAGGAGAAAGTTTTTATTACTGAACTCCACCAAAAGCTGGTAAGAGAAAATCAGAGGTAATCTTTGCTTCCTTGATGTGGAGGATGCAATACCAATGGTGTTATGGGAAGGTGATGCCATGAATTAAGAATGAATCAGTCCCAAATTTGGAGCTTTGATACCATAAAAGAGAGGGAGATGTAAAGAACCAATTCAACCCAAAAGCTTAAGCTGGTGGGTGAGGGCTTTTAATGGTTTATACTATTCTCTAACACGCCTCCTCACACGAGAGCCCACTGGGTTGAAGGGTGGACAATATACTGGCCCACCTACCTGTGCTAAGAAAATTCCACAAGAAAAAGTGGGGGGCAGTGAGGATCGAACTCAGGACACGAGGTTTTGATACCATGTAAAGAACCAATTCAACCCAAAAGCTTAAGCTGGTGGGTGAGGGCTTTTTAATGGTTTATATTATTCTCTAACAGGAGAGAAAAACAAGGAAAAGAGAGAGAAAAAGGAGAATGAGAGTTTCTTGATTGATGGAGTTACTGTACTGAATCTCAGAACAGATATATATAGAGAGCAGCAATTAAGCTTACTAAAGCAAGCTTCATGTAATAACCAAATATAATTTAATTAAACTAATGTCATGTTGGCAAAATAGAACTGTTACAAGGGTATACCCGAACTCTTCTGGGTTCGGTAGTTCAAGTACTGCACTACTAACATAGCTAATTATATAAGAATAACTATTGTTAAGAATAGTGTTAGAATAGTGGTTTAGAAATACCACATCATGTATATCTTATTGTATTTCCTTTCCTTTCAGCTATATAACAGAACCTCCGTTGTGTAGTTTAGACACACGGATTACTCACAACTTTCTCGGGTCCTGATATTTAACATGGTATCTAGAGCCTAACGAGAGAAATCCAAATCCGCCTTTCCTTTTTTCTCATTTCCATACTTGTAATATGGTTGTAGAGAGATATCATCCTCCTTGAGAGGAATTTTCTTCCACTGTTCCTGTTCGTCGGATCTTCCTCGTCGGACAGCCTCATTCTTCGTTCATTGCAGCAAGCTCGCCTTTCTCAGTTTCCGATGTCCATCCCAACACTGCTTCATTTCGTGATGTCCATTCTGACGCCATTTTAGCACACTGTTGATTTTGGTTCCTCATTTAGGAGGAGATTTATTTTGATGTTATGTTTCTTAGTCTTCCTTGTTCAAGCTTGTAGCATATATATATATGCTCCAGCTTGAGGGGGAGTGTTAAGAATAGTGTTATAATAGTCGTTTAGAAATCCCACATCATGTATATCTCATTGTATTTCCTTTCCTTTCAGTTATATAATAGAACCTCCGTTGTGTAGTTCAAACACACGGATTATTCACAATTCTCTCGGGTCCTGATATGTTACATGTTATCAGAGCCTCGGTGTCACAGGTTCGATCCTCACCACCCCCATTCAGTTAATAAATAATTACATAGTGTGGAATTTCTTAAGCTTTTGGATTGAAAAAAAAAATTGTGGAATGTTACGATCCCATTTGCAAGGTATGGGACTTGAAGCCCCACATTGGTTGTATGGACAACTAATGTGGGGTTTATAAGGAATTGGGCACTCATTCTTTGAGCTAGCTTTTGGGGTGGTGCATCCTAAAATCCTTATCAAATGTTATTAGAGCCTTCCACTATGTCTCCGGTTGCAATCGAGCGGTGCGGGTGGTGACACCGGCATTGCAGTGTTCACCCGGGGCTAGTAAAAGACTAGCGCAAAGTCAGATCGTGTGGACGTCGGCGGAGCGTGGTGGAATGTTACGATCCCATTTGCAAGGTACGAGACTTCAAGTCCTACATTGGTTATATGGCAACTAATGTGGGGTCTATAAGGCCTTGGGTACTTCCACCTTTTGAGCTAGCTTTTGGGGTGGTATATCCCAAGATTCTTATCAAAAACTACTATAGTAGAACGATAGAATTACTGCAGTAATAGAATATATATGTATCTCTACATTCCTTTAGCAACACATCTCTACAATGTTATGCAGTAGCACTTGCACTGTATTTGCTCACTATGCAATGTATAAGTTTGAGATCTGTTAAGGTCAGTCAGTTACAGATTAGTTCTAGTTCTCGGTCTATTAATTAGTTGTGCTGAGCTATCATGGGCTCATAGCTTGCTGGACAAGCCAGCATCATCTATGTATATCTCTTGTACCCAGAAATCATTTGAGTTGAATATACAAGATAATTTACAGAACCGCTTTCTCCTTTCTCTCGTTTCCCTCACTTTCTCATCCTTTATATTACACCAACCTTTCAAATAGAAGACTTGTTGTAACACTGTAGGAAAACAGGCCGGCCACACAAAAGATATATGCTGATTCATTCATGGGAAAATAGCAGACGCAAATTCTACTGTGGAAGGGAGAATCATGTCAGCACAACCTCTTCAAATATACTTGATACAGTCAAGATAAGTGCCAGCATGATGATTACTAATGTACCATCTCAATTCTGGGAGATCTTGTCCTCTCTGCAACCTAATTAATCAGCAGGATGCCCTACAAGGTCCACAAGTTCAACACTCCACAGGAGAAATCAAAACAGCTTTTGTCAACTCTAATGATCAACTAGTGGATGTCTTCACTAAAGCTCTTAGAGGTCCTCGGATTGAATACATTTGTAGCAAGCTTGGTGCTCACTATATATACGCACCAGCTTGAGGGGGAGTGTTAGAATAGGAAATATTAGATATATAGATTTGTATAGATTAGATTCTTATAGATTACTTTCCTATCTGTAAATATTCTTTTTGGATTAGATCTGGGCTTTTCACTTAAGCCCATTAGGGTCTCTATATATTGTAACTCTTTGTATTAGCTTAATACACAACATATTCAAGTAATCTAAAAGAAGGCAGACATACTCATGGACCGATCTTTAAGGCTTAATGATATCAACTAGCTAGTATATACTTCCACAATGAGTTTGTGTAAAATATAAACAGAACGTAAGAGAAATAAATGACGTTTTAGGACACGCATTTGGAAAATGTGATAGAGTATCAATAGATGACAGGTCCATTCAGTGTTCCTCCTAGAATGAATCATCTAATTGCACCAGTAGAACTTCTACACACAATTAACCACCTTCCACAACCTCAAAAAGAATTACTAAATGACATTAAGAGGTAAGAAAACCATACCAATATCAAGGGGATCATGAGTCTCTGTGTCAATTTGAAATTTGACTTCAGCAGACGCAAGAGTTAAAGCTCCTCTCTCAATTCGCCTTTGTCTCATTTTCTGATAAATCATAAAAATATGTATATTTTTCAGACAATTTCATAGCAGAGCATGCAAAGACAATAATACTTATAATTATGTGAGTAAAACAATAACACTGCATCCATAAGTCTATACCTTAGCTAAACTATTCATATTCCTCAAATCTGTAGTTAGCGGATCCATCAATCGACTGTACAAAGACAAAACAAAATACAGCTACATAACTACATAAAGCTAAAATCACACAATAACATAAAACGCTAGAAAAATGATTAGCGATCCACAACAAGATGCCTCCCCAAAGGGAAACAAAAGAAATGGTTTTGTTAGCATATAAAAATATTGAAGAAAGCATAGATCAATAATCAGGTATTCATGCGATAGTATAAAAATGAAAAAAGCTTGAATTGTTCGCATGAAAATGAACCCAGCCATTTAGCAAGCGCTTTTGTTTATTCACTTAAATCAGTACAACTATTTCATAAGCAATGATAGCCAGACATACATCGCAATAACACAATCCCAGAAGACAAACATTCATTATGCTATCTACTTTTTTGATTCAGTCCTAATTATAATTAATGGTGCTAAATTAAAAACATGTCAATCCATATCATCACAAAGGATATAAGGAGAAACATAAGCATACCTGTCATCCATCCTCACTTGTGCTTCATCATAAGACAATGCTGCAGAAGATTTAATGACACTTTTTGTGAATCTGCTACATCTAATGTCCGCTTCAGGTGTCATTTCCTGAACATTTGTAAATAGTTTAAATGTGATTCCGCAAATACAATAAAGTTTACTCAAATATAAATTGCTTCAGTTGACATCCTTCTTTGGGAACATTTAAACTATGCTGTAAACATATTAACATTTTGTTCATATTATTAAATACAGCATGGATATGATGAGCCTAGACGACTAATAAATAATCAACATAAATGCATATGCAATTTCTTCATTATGCATACTCAGAAGATCGGCGAATCAACACCCTAGGGATGGTACTTGTGGTCCAAGGCAGTAGTAACACTTTTTTCTCCAAACTGTTGAATGCTACTAATTGGTCAACTAAATATCAGCATGCATGTCGAACATTTGGTGTATTTTTATTTTAGTTCTGATTGTGTTAGTTACATGAGTTATTGCAGAGTCATCCTTGGCTCTATAAATAGAGCTTGTATCAGATACCCTTGTAACCTTTCCAGATTACAGTAGTGCAACGACTTCATTCCAGAATCTTCTCTTTCCCTGTCTCTCAAACTTTCTTTCATTTTCTCATACTTTCTCTTAGGTTTCTAATACAGCATCAGAGCCCTCTTTCCGAGGGCCTGAGCCAATTCAATTTCATCATTGTCTTCTGCTTCTAATTCTAACTCCAATCCCTCGCTATCAAATGGATCAACTCCCAAGGAAGCTAAAGCCCCTTCCTCTCTCTTCAATCTTCAAATTTTTGGAAAACTCATAAAAGATAACTATCTCTTTTGGAACCAGATCATCGAGTCTGTGATTACCTCTCACCATTTACATTACTTTATTGTTAACCCTAAAATTCTGCTGAAATCCGACTCTAATGAAGATCGTGAGAACACTATGCCAAGTTCAGCATATGTGGAGGGGCTCACTCAAGACCAGACGTGGCTTCTATCCACCATCACCAAATAGATTGTGAATGAATCCTACTAGTGAAGCACTCCTTTGAAGCATAAGACAATGTGCACAAGATGTTTCATGGTTTGACGAAGTCAAGGGCTCGCCAACTCAGATCGATGAAGAAAGGCACGAAATCAGCGAAAGAATATCCAACACAAATCAAGATGTTACACGATTCACTCAAAGCCAGTGGAAACCCAATTTTAGTGGAAGAACACACAATTAATTCTGGAAGGTCTACCACTTGAATATAATACCTTCGTTATGCTAGTTCATGGCCGTGAGCGACCTTATTCAGTTACAGATTTGAGAGTGGAGCTAATGACACATGAACAGCTCCTAATCAAGCAAAATGAAACACTCTTATTTGAAAGATAAGTGTTGAGATATATAAAAACTATTAATGTAGCCTCACCCAACAGCTTAAGCTTTTGGGTTGAATTGGTTGACATGGTAACACAGCCTCGGTGTACCGGGTTCGATCCTCACCGCCGCCCCCCACTTTCTTTTTAGTGGAATTTAGCCTCACCCAACAGCTTAAGCTTTTGGGTTGAATTGGTTATTTACAATAAGACTTTGAAGCATTTGTGGATCTAAATGTTAATGTGTTCAACTAGACATTGAACCAGCCATGTGGCCATTGCAAGCTTGTAGATGAGCTTGATGGTGGACATCAGTGAAAGGGGCAGTAATGTTGCAACAATGAGGTCATAGAGATCATAGTAGAATTACAATGACAAGTGCTAAAACTTTTAGCAAAAGAAACGCAATTGAAAGGTTTCATTGACTTTGATGATTGTTTGTTAAATGTTTAAAAGTTTTCAACCATATAATAAATTCCATCCAATATTAATGCACATACACGTAAAGAATATGTAAATTGCAACAAGTATAATCATGGTCAAAATATGAGATTGTACATACCCAGATGACAGAGAATGCAAGCCTTTCCACATCAGATCGAAGAGAACATACGTCTGCCAGATTAAGGTTTATCAATGATGGCAGAAAAATAGCTATAACCAAAGCAATGTACCTTTTTTCAGCATACGACACCTAATGGGTAAAAAGAAGGTCAAATGATTTTACCCTCTGTAAGAGGTTTTGGAAGCATGTCTATCCGCCGCTCAACAAGGTAGACAGACGTACCCCTTTCTGTAGCCTCTTCATCAAGTGGAGTGTCAGGATGCACAAAATTTGTCACGTCAGCAATATCTGAGAAACTTGTTAAAGATGAACAACTGAGAGGGATTAAATAGCATAAACTAGGGAAGATAGGGGAGACCAAGGAAAAGGATAGAAAAACTAATGAAGCCTGGCTGTTGAAGAGGATGGATATTAATGTATTGTTCAGACTTGCAAGCTCTAAGGCATATATCAGATGACTTCTTACTTAGGGCATGGAGATTCTATTCAAAAAAAAAAAAAAACTCTTTTAAGTTTTTTGAGTTGAATTGATTGTTTATATGGCATGAGAGCCTCCATGACTGACTTGTCCAGGGTTCAATCCTTGTCACCTCCAATTTTTTATAAATATTGCGAAATTTCTTAACAAATGATAGGTGGACCTATATATTGTCCATCTTTGAAGCCCAAAAGATTCTTACATGAGGGGACTTGTTAGAAATATAGAAACCATGCCTTCACCTAACAGCTTAAATTTTGGGATGAATTGATTGTCGACAAAATAATAACATCCATCCGAATGTAGTAATCCACATATGCTAATTGGAATACATATAGCCTATTGATACATGGCATCATCAATAAAATAAATATCCTTGGATAAAGGATACGAACTCCAACTTCAAAGTTTCCATTTGGAAGAGCATAACAGTGTAGTGCATCATCAATATCCTTGCAGCCTGCGTACAAGAAGCAACATAAATATAACAAAATCCTTACACCATGTTCTCTTCTAAATCAATATAATAGAATGAAACCACTAATAATAGAATGGCTAAACACAATAATAAGGTTCTTTGGAAATGTAAATATTATGGCACATGCACGGAAAAAATTAAAAAAACAAACAGCATAGAAAGAGTTATTTCAGTATGGGTCCTTTTCCAGAAAGCAGTAGGCACATAAGCACTTCATTTTGATTATGAACGACTAGAGTATACCAATACTCAACAGAAAAAGGTAAAAATTCTAGAAAATATGGTATAATATCTTAAAATAGTTTAGAATATGCTAAAGGATCTCTTAGGAGGATTGGGTTTCCCTATTCCCTCATATAAAATTAACCTATATCTAGGGACTAAGATTACATGTAATAGAATTCAAATTAATAAAACTATTTTATTACTCCCTATAGATCAGGATTATAACAAGTTTTTATTAAGCTAATTTATAGTTACCTAAAGATTTGTATTAGGTCAAACAAAATGTATATAAAACTAATATATTATTCCCTAAAGGTCTAGATTACATTAAACAAATTTTCATTTAAAATTAATCTATTATTCCTAAAGGATTAGTACACACCCAATAAATTCCATATAAAAATTTTCATACAAAACTAACCTATGATCACCTAGGGATTAGGATTACCTGATCTTCGTATTTGAAAGTTTTCCCTTGGAAGAGGAGCTATTCGTGAGGGAAAGCAAAGTTGGTAGCCAAGAGAAAATAATAATAGAAATTAAAGAGGGTTGGGAATAAGAAAAATAAGGAGAACAGAAAGGGAATTCGAAGTGATTTGGTATGGTTAGGCCAAACCCCTATGTATAGCTGAAATTTTCCTTAGGCTCATGATATGGGTTTGGCTCATCTATATCTATCGCTGACTCGTGACTGACTCATAGCTGACTAAATTGGATATTGCTGACTCAGGGTTGACTCAACATAATTCAATGCATTTAATATTATGATACACATAAGGATAAATATTATTATTTTCAATAGTTTTATTACTATTATTTTCAACAAATTATCATTGATATATCTTAACGGTCATTAAACGGAAAAGGAAATATTGTTCTAATGCAATGAACTTCTAGACTATGAATATTGATGATATTTCTGGTAAAAACAGACTGTGATTGTGTTGTTTGGTGACCGTGGACCTTGTGTGGACTTCTAGTTGGTATTATTAGCTACGGGTAAGCTTTCGTGTTCTCGGTTTTAGCCATTGATGGTTCCACCATACCTCATGGAGGGTTGATTTATATGCATGATGTGTTTTCTGAAATTATGTGAAGAATATTTGATATGTTGTTGAGCTGTTTTATGAGTGCAAATGCCATATGTTATGTATGTGGGGTGTTCCACCCTAGACGGTAATCCCTGAGTATGTGAGGCACATACAAAATGGTAACTCTGTGGGTGAGGTACAAGAGAGGAGCCTTGTACTGTGGGTTGCAGAAGTGCATAATCCCTATTTTTATTCTCTGGCCAGTGGGATGCATACACACATGACATAGACAAATGCTGCATTGCATGGATATTTGCCATTATACTGTTATTTTCTTTTTGAACTTATATTGCACATGTAAGTGAGCTTGGGGTAGAGAGATTTTTGAGGACCCCTTGCCTTACTGAGATTTTCTTGTTAAAAATCTCACCCCGTGTGGAGCACATTTTCAGGTACAGGTACCTCTGAGGTTGAGACCTCTAGTGGCAGGAGGCCGGAGTTGAGCTGATTTTATGCATGCTTCTTTATTATAGTATTTGGATATGACTCTGCCTTGCTATTATTATATGACTATTGTATTTGAGACATGAGTTGACTATGTTGTTTTATTTGGTGAGCATGAGGGTTGTCCATGCCACATTGGTATAAGCTATGTCTATTTCAGACTTGAGTTGTACTATTGTATTAGGATATTGTCCGGTTTACGTGTTGTAGTTCCGTGACTTGATACTTGTTTATACTATGAGGTTATTCAGTGTAGTTATCTAATGCAATTTACATACAGGCGCTTTTTGAAAAAAAGAATAAGTAAATCCACTTGGTTAATATGATAAGTTTCACAATTGGAAAATTTTAACTTCCGTATTTATTGAGCTGCGCTTATTACCATTTATATGTTTAATACACCTGGTGCACACGGGTTGTTACAGACAACACATTACAAACAACAATATTAATATACTTTTATTCTAAGTATTTGCTTTTTTCCCTCCTTGCCTAAATCTCTATAGTTTCAACATGGCATTTTCTACCCACCATCCACAACTTTTCAAGCCACGGGAAAAAAATTCCAACATCCTTTTTGGCCGGTGAGCACTTGTTCTGGAGCGGCTCCTCTAATTCAATGCACACCAAGTGGAACTACTGTTATCCGACAAACCACAAGCATGCCCAAACGCAACAACTCTTTGTGTTGCAAGTCATCTTCTCTTACAGACTCTACATCACGAGTAACACGATATGACCGCAACTATTCGGCCACAACCACCAGCGCGGTACTCATTTCCTTCTCTCCCCAAGATCTATTATTTTCCTCTTGCACTTGTTCTTAGTCGGTGCTTGTCCCGCCCTTTTCCTATTTTCCAGCCATTATAACATCCCGATAGGACGTCCAGTGTGAGGTGTAGAAATTTAGTGGTACACATCTAGCGTAGCCATAGTCTTTCCTCGTTTAATTTGGTAGTCTTGTCTTCTTCTCCATTGCCCAACTAAACCATCAATAAAAGCAGAATGATCGGCTTCACTATGAGTACAACCACTAAACAATTGAACTAAAGCAACTAAACTAAGCCCAAGGTGACTGTTTCAAACCATATAACGATTTGCAGAGTTTACATACCAAACCAAACTCCCCTTGAGCAACAAAGTCGAACGAGATGTTTTGTGGTGATCTGGCCTGAAATGGCAGTCGTACGACGTGTCATGTAGTGAGCACAACGAGATAAGGATTAGGTTTTCATGAAAGTAGAGTCTCCTAGATTAAGAGCTCTAATATCAACTTGAAATTGAGGAATTGTGTCATTGATCATACCACACAAGGATTTTATTTATAATAATGAGTTACATGGGCTTGAATCCTATTTACACGGTGCGGTACAATAATACAAATATCCTATACATATATATTCTAACATCATCCCCACTAACATATTGTCGAGCTTAACTTTTCATAATCTTTTAAAATAAGGGGAGCGGAAGGCTTCCTATTCGAAGGTCTAGTCATGCAACAAGTCTCAATTGTACGTAAAGGTTTCATCCCGTAAGAGCATGCTAAAATTGTAAATATTAAAAAAAAAAATCATAATTGTTTTCCATTCAAAAATATATATATATATATATATATATATATATATATATATATATATATCAAATCATTTTATCATATTAATGCTTAGGACAAGTCGTAATGAATAATTAATAACTGAACTTCTCATCAACAATTTTATGAGTATAGAAAACTGTAAGATTTAAATTTAGTTAATAAGATCAAATATTACGATTTCTTCACTTACTTAGAAAAATTAGAAGTGGAAAAATAAATAAAACTCATACCTTGAGGATCCACACTAAAGACACGCATATGACGCAAATCCTGCCTAATTGGATTAGCCAAATCTTCAGAAGAGACTGACCATGGCAACGGTGGCAAGCATGCCTCCACTTGGGGAGAGAATGCCTCCGAATTTATATCATTTTCTATCAAAACCACCTACAATGTACAAAAGGAAAAGAAATGTCAAGTCATTAATATGGTTTAGTTGGTTTAAAAACGTAACAAATAGTTGCATATGTGCTGCAAGACACGCGGATATGACATGTACTAAAAAGTCAGAATTCAGGTACAACAACCCTTTAATAACAACATAGGATGGTGTCTGCAGGATAGTAGAATCTAATGGTGTCGGAATATGTATCAATAAGAACTATCATACATCACTATGGCAAATATTTTAAAGTAATCATGCTTCGTGTGTTTATGGAAGGAGATTTTCAATTATATTTCCCTTCTAGCAATCTAAGTCATCAACAAAATGTGAACAAGTGAAGCAATAATCAGAGATCATGAGCATATATCCAAGTGCCTAATGGTTGTTCAAGTGACTACAATTATATTAGTTTTCATAAATCTTACTTTTAAAATCTAGCATTTTTATAAAGTCATAATGATATATAGGAGGAAAAAGAAATCTCTTCCAATAAAATATTATTTGCATCAGTTTCATAAAAAACACTATAGCATTCAAGCTTCAAATGCCACACAGTCATTGCCTTCCCAATTTCCAAACAAAGAAAGATAAGCCAGCAAATCCAATATTCCTATCACAAACCAACTCTCCCAAAAGTTTAGGCTGATGGTGAAAGGCACATGAATGATTTTATATCTTTAACATGCTGTGCATGTAAGAATCATTTTTGGTCTTTGAAGCATGGATAATGCATGGACCAATTTTATCTTGTGACCTTATGCTAAAAATTAATTTTGTTTATTAGAAGAATGAGGACAACAAAGATCAAAATTTAAACCAGTTAGTCATAGAAGCTGTGATGCCATATCACCCCAACTCCCCCAAAAGCTTAAACGGTTAGAGAAAGGCAGACTAATTGTTTTATTATATTACCTTTCTTTCAATTTCTTTGCCACCTATCTCTCCTATAGTTCGTACATAATGGCCTGATGGATATTGAGAATTACGATCCCAAGAATAAACATTCACAATAATCCTCTTGTCCAAAAGGTTCTCCAACTGGCGGGTTTGGATTTGAATCTTGGGAATTCTACTATCTTTGGAGACAAAAAATGCACGGGCAACAGCACCACTCCCAGCAGGCATAGGCATTGGCTCCAAAGATCCACAGTACCTACAAAGACAAAATAAATATATCAATCATGAAACAGCAAAATACTTACATTTAGAAAATGATATGCACAGGCCCATACTTATCAATCAACATTTTAACAAACAAAAAATACTGATTTGTTAGCAAGTTTTTTTTTTTTTAACATTTAAAGAACAAAATAAAATTAATTAGCTCTCAATTTTTCTAACACTTCTTACTAATTAACACCGAACGATACCAACAAAGAATCTAGCAGAACATGGCTTAATTAGAGGAGATAAAAGTGATATTAGTTTTCAATCAATTGAATGCCAATTTGTTATGTAACACACAAATGTTATAATTATTAAAAAATAAAAAATAAAAAAAATAAACCTTATCGAATGCCAGTTTCTCTTTATAATGCCAACAACACAACCAGAAGGGCGACTGGATACAACATTCATTTCTGCAGTAGAACCTTGCTGAGGAATAGTTCTAGGTGCATCTTCAGCACTTTTTGGAGCTAAATGAACATCTTCATCATCCTCATCCTCTGCAAGAAAATAAAATTAGCTGATGGGAAATTTAAATAGAAAAGCAAGTTCACAGACATGCGCATAAACAAATAAGACTGAGCTATTTCAAGTACAATAAGAAGTATGCACAGGTCAAATGCAGTATACAAGAGACGAAAACAAAGAAGCATATTTCCATGCTTATCCAGCTGGATATTAAGGCAACTTCAATACTCATTTATTGAGGTGTATGCACTCATCCTCTCTTTCCTTTGTATTTCTTCTTTTATCCAAAATATTATTATTAATAATAATAATTGTTGTAAATATTAGAACTAGTTGATATTGTAATTATTTGTTTCCTTTTCTTCTTAGGATTTCATTCCTTAAATATTTGGGTTTATTCCTTTAAGCCTGTTAGGCTTCTATATTGTAACCTTTTGTTTATATTCTACACACTAGCAATAATATTCGCTCTTTCTTTCAAGTTGGCTGTTAGAGAATAAATCATTAAAAAGACCTTCACCCAAAAATTTAAATTGTTAAGTGAAGGCCCATCAATAGTTTATATACCAACTCATTAGGATGCTGTTGTGAGGATCCTCCGATACATCAAAGGAGCACCAGAAAAAGGTTTGTTGTATTCGGATCAGGAAAATACAGAAAGTTGTGGTTATTCAAATGCTGATTGGGTAGGATCACCCTCAGACAGGCGCTCTACTTTTGGCTATTGTGTCTTCTTAGGAGGAAACTTAATTTCTTAGAAGAGCAAGAAACAACCTGTTGTTGCTCGATCTAGCGTAAAAGCTGAGTATCGGGCAATGGCAATTGCTACCTGTGAGTTAATCTGGTTAAAGCAGTTCATTCAAGAGCTTCATCTTTGTAAACAGAAACAACCCATGACACTCATTTGTGATAATCAAGCTGCAGTACATATATCCTCCAATCCTGTATTTCATGAAAGAACCAAACATATAGAGATTGATTGTCACTTCATTCGAGAAAGGATTCAGTCAGGAGAAATCAAAACAACTTTGGTCAACTCTAATGATCAACTAGCGGATGTCTTCACTAAAGCTCTTAGAGGTCCTCGGGTTGAATACATTTGTAACAAGCTTGGTGCTCACAATATATACGCAACAGCTTGAGGGGGAGGGTTAGAATAGGAAATATTAGATATATAGATTTGGTTAGATTACCTTCCTATTTGTAAATATTCTTTTCCTATTTAGTTTTGTATTAGGTCTGGGCTTCTCACTTAAGCCCATTAGGGTCTCTATATATTGTAACTCTTTGTATTAGCTTAATACACAACATATTATTTTATATTTTAGTTAATCTTACTCTTGGTATCCGTACTATAGCTGTAGCTGATGGATCACACACATCAATTGCGGGTTCTGATAACATTCAAATTTAACCCTCCTTGAATCTTAAGAATGCTCTTCATGTTCCCCAACTTTCTACCTGTTGGATATTTGTTATACCCCAATTGTTTTAATTGATTTAAAATATGTTTTGATGATTACAATCAATTTAATGTTAATTTCATTGATAATATTTTATTGTCTTGAAATTACTAATGAGCTGATTGTTTGAGATTTCATAATAATATTTATTCTGATTTGAAATAGTATTCAAGATAATTAAAGATTGCATGAAGATTGGAGAAGATATGGAAGATATCATAGGATCAATATTCAAAATAATTGAAGATTGCATGAAGATTGGAGAAGATATCATGAAGAGATAAAAAAGCATGGAATCAATTAAAGATTAGGATAGATTTTATCTTTTTAGATTTCATGTAAGAGAAATAAAATATTGTTTGCCAAAGATTTGATTAGGATTGCATTGCATAATAGATTGAGATGTTATTATTACAAATAGGGCTCATTGCATATTATTTCAAAGTGGAGAAAATACAAGAGAGAGAAGAGAGAAGAATATACAAGAAAGAAAAAAGAGAATTAAATTTTCAAGATTAGGATTCTTTCTTGTGCATCAATTGAAGAGTTTTCTCAAGAATATTCATTCATACATTCATCCTTTGACAAAGTGAATATTTCTCCATAGGACATGCCTCCTATCGATCGACAGAAAGTAGGAAAAGCTGAGACACCCAAGCTATTATACCAAAGGAAGAAACAACCCACATTGCCCCACCAGCAACTGCAATTGCCTGAACTACTGGTAACTACTGAATGCACTGCTTCTTCTATTCCTGAGCCTGATATTAATTCTGATGACTTACCTATTGTTGTAAGGAAAGGGAAAAATCCTAAACCCAACACTTTATCTCTAATTTTATCTCCTCTAAGAATCTTTCTATGTAGCATAGAAGTTTATTACAGCACTTGACTCAATTTCGATCCCAACATCAGTGCATGAAGCATTAAAGGATGAGTAATTAGGTTCAAGCCATGCATGACGAGATGAATGCTTTGAAGAAGAATAAGACATGGGAAGTCGTTGACAGGCCAAACAAAAAACAGGCAACAAGGTGCAAATGGGTGTACACTCTGAAATATAATTCTGACGGGACTCTTGAGAGGTATAAGGCTCGATTAGTAGCCAAGAGATTTACACAGACCTATGGCATTGATTACGAAGAAACATTTGCTCCAGTGGCCAAAATGAACATTGTAAGAGTTCTATTGTCCCTTGCAGCTCACTTTAATTGGGATTTGAAACAATTCGATATTAAAAAACCTTCCTCAATGGCGAATTAAAAAAGGAGGTTTACATGGAGATCCCACCAAGATTTGACTCTACAAATAGAGATAATAAAGTTTGCATATTAAAAAAGGCATCGTATGGCTTGAAGCAATCCTCACGTGCTTGATTTGGAAGATTTACCCAGCTTATGGTTTCATTGGGATTCAAGCAAAGTAAAAGAGATCATACACTTTTCTTTAAACATTCTCAAGAAGGTAAGCTCATTATCCTTCTAGTTTACGTTGATGACATTATTATAACAGGGGATGATATAAGTGAGAAATGTGCTCTGCAACAAAGACTGACTGCTGAATTAGAAGTTAAAGAAAGACCTTGAAAAACTGACATATTTTCCTGGGATAGAGGTTGCCCATTCAAAGCAAGGGATCTTTATTTGTCAATAAAAGTATGTTCTTGATCGAAAATTTGGGTGCAAACCTTCCAGAACTTCGATTGAGCAGAATCCATATCAGTTAAAAATGGATTGCGTTCAAGCCTAAAAAACACTATAGCGCTATAGCGAGTTACGATTGCGAAAATAGCGAAATAGATTAATAAAACCTAGATATACTACACATATATATGCTAAAAAATAAAAACAATCAATAATAAGTAAATTACAAATTTTTTCAAAAAATATTATTTTGTATTTGAATACAAATTTTAAAATTATTTAAAGTAAAAATTATGCATTTTTTTATTTATTTTACAAACAAAAAAATATTAACTTCTAAACATTATTAAGTGTGTTTAATAATTTACAGTTTGTAAAATAAGTAAAAAAATACATAATTTTTAAATAAAGTAAATTGAAAGTAGTGGGTACACTCATTTTTTTTTTTAAACACCCCAACCTCCAACACAAAAGCCAGCAGAGTGTGAATCACATTTGATCGACCTATATATACTTATTTAACAGTACAATAACATGACCAACGCGCAAAAGGACGAACCAGAACTTCAATATTTGCCTCCTCTTGTAGTACTGACTTAGACAAATTAGACATTTGCATCCAAAACTTCAATAAACCAAAAAAAAAAAACCAAGAAAAAAAAAATAGAGGCCAGAAAAAATAAGGGAAGAAGTCAGGAAAAAAACCAAAAATAAAATCAAGGAAAAAAAATAGGAGGGTAGAGAAAAAAAGAGAAAAAAAATAAATTCAGAAACCTTACCTAAGTAAAGAGAGGGTCCTTAAAAGATGCTGAGTCAATAGATAGGATTGGACAAGTTGCCAACAAGCCAAGAGACAGGAGAGAAGCTGCTGACTACACAATAGAGAGGAGACCCAATGTCCTTCGATGGAGTGTGGACTTAGAAGCGAAAGGACTAAAATGTGAAAAGTGAAAACAGACTCAATGTCCTTTTAATAATAAATATAAAAAATGACAAAAAGTCCTAATTTTTTTTGTTTTATAATGGCAAAACACTACTTCACTTTCACTTGCTTTCCAGCCGCTATTTTCATCGATACAGACGCATTCATCCGCTATTTCGACCGCTTCAGACGCAATCGCTTTCTGGTGCAATGTTGCGCGGTTTCTCGCAGTGGTCAACCGCAACCCGCGAACGGCGCGAGTAGCGATGCTTTTAACTACTATGATAGAATCATAAGCGAGGAAGTGAAAATGAGAGCCAGTTGACAAAGAACAAGATCAACGAATGGGGGGAAGATTGATATATTTGGCTCATACTAGACTTGATCTAGCTTAAGCAGTTAGTATTGTTAGCCAATTCATGCATGATCCGAGGGAAAAACGCCTTAAAGCAGTGGACAAGATTCTCCAATATCTAAAAGGCACATCAGGCAAAGGACTACTATTCCTGAGAGGAGAAAGCCTATCCTTACAAGTTTATATAGACGACGATTATGATGGATCCTTGACTGACCGACAGACTACCTCAGTCTATTGTATGTTTCTCTATGGAAATCTAGTAACATGAAGAAGTAAAAAGCAAAATGTGTTGGCTAAGTCAAGTGCAGAGGTAGAATTCCAAGCCACGGCTTAAGGTATCTGTGAATTATTATGGCTGAAAATCATTCTTGATGATCTAAAGGTGATATGTAAGGGATCTATGAAATTACTATGTGATAATAAGTTAGCAATCTGTATAGCCCACAATCCAGTCCAACACGATCAAACCAAAATATATTGAGATTGATCGTCACTTCATCAAAGAGAAATTAGACAGTGGACTGATCACTACTCCATATATTCCTTCTGGTCGTCAACTGACTGATGTCTTGACTAAGGAACTTCCTACTGATAGGTTTCAAGAACTTACTAACAAGATGGGAATGATAAAACTCTATCCCTCAGCTTTAGGGGGAATATTGTAAATATTAGATTATCTCTAGTCATACTTGTGAATAACCCCACTTTAGTGCGCTATAGCGGAGTTGCGTTGCGGTGCGGTCAGGCGAAGTGTAGCAGATGTAGCAGCCGCTATTGCGGCTGAATCACGGCACTATTGCGCCGCGATAGTAGTTTTTGCAAAAGTGTTCTCGTCATAGAAGGAAGAGATTTACAACTTAGATACAAGTGAAAGTGAAGATGAAGACTTGGATGTTCATGATTTCAATTATGATTAGTTCCTTAAGTTCTTTGATTTTGACAATTTCACTTAAGTGGCAGTTTGAATTTTAACTAATTATGGAAGAGAGTTATTGAACATCATTTGAGGAGAGAGACCTCTGTAAATCAATTTGGATTTATGCCAGAAAAATGTACCACAGAAGCTATTTTCTTGATGCGTCAATTGATGGAAAGATATCGAGAAAAAAAAGAAGGATTTACATATGGTGTTCATAGATCTTGAGAAAACATACGATAGGGTCCCAAGAAAAGTTTTATGGTGGGTTCTTGAGCAGAAAAAAGTACTATCAAAGTATGTAAATGCAATCAAGGATATGTATGATGGGACTACTACATATGTGAAAGCTTGTAATGGAACATCAAATTATTTTCCTATTACAGTAGGTGTACACCAAGGTTCAGCTCTGAGTCCTTATCTCTTTGCCTTAGTGATGGATGAACTAACAAAAGACATTCAAGAGGAAGTGTCATGGTGTATGCTTTTTGCAGATGATTTTGTGCTTATTGATGAGACCAAAGACGGTGTTAATAGGAAACTTGAATTGTGGATAAGCACTTTGGAGTTTAAAGGTTTCACGTTAAGCCAGAGCAAAACTGAGTATATGAAGTGTGAGTTTCTCTGGTAAGAGATGGAGATCAAGACGCTATGCATCTACTTGGTGAAGAGGTACCCAAGAAAGATGTTTTTAGATACCTGGGATAAATTTTGCAAAAAGGTGGTGAGATTGATGAAATGGCGGAGTGCATATGGGTTTTTTTGTGACCGCAAAATTCCCCTTAAGCTAAAAGAAAAATTAATAGGACAGCATTAAGGTCTGCAATGTTATATGGAGCTGAATGTTGACCAGCGCATAGGCAACACGAGCATAAAATGAGAGTAGCAGAAATGAGGATGTTAAGGTGGATGTGTGATTATACGAGGATAGATAAGATAAGAAATAAAGATATTCGACGAAAGGTAGAAGTAGTCCCAGTTACTGAAAAGATAAGGGAACATAGATTGAGGTGGTTTGAGCACATAATGAGATAGCCCCTAGATGCTCCTATAAGAACAAAAGTTTGTTACCAAGAGCTCGATACAAAGAGAGGTAGAGGTAGACCGAAACTTACCTGAGGAAAGGTAGTTAAACAAGACTTAATGGAGTGGGATATAAATTGGCGGACAATGTGTCATAAGACGAAATGGAGAAAAACTACAAGCAGGTAGAGGTAGATCTCTTTTATCCTTCAGACCCTTTAACTTCTGTCGAAATATAACATTGAAGATTTAGCACTACCTTTCCCATATATCTCTCTCAAATTTAAATTTTTGAACATGATGGATAAATATTTAGGGTAGCCATTTCAATAAAATTGGCCAAGTTTTCTAGTATGTAATAGTGAAATCCATTGTCCAGATATATGAATGAATATTAAAAACTATGGCCTTGGTGACCTAACTTATGTTTAAAGGTTTTGCTTTCTAAGTAAATTTAAGTAATAAGATAATTTGCAAAGAATATATTCTGACAAGTTGTAAGTCTGCCTTATGGTAGAGTATAGTTGTATATATAACCTAACAATCAACATACCTTCACCAGCTATAGATAGACACTTCACTTGTAGCCACCGGTCCTGAGGCAGAATTTCAACCACCACAATATCACCATCAAAAGCACGATTCATGTTTAAGCGCCCATCAATAATTATTTCATCACTAAAGCTCTTGCTCCTAACATATGCTTTGAATAGCTTGTAACAATTTACATGAAGTCGCCCTTGATGATATATTCCACGATCCAAACCAGAATTAATTTCTGGCATTTGCTTATGCTAAAAAGTAACAGAATATGAATACTCCATCATATGGGTATAACCAAAACTACATAAACAAATCACTAGATGTAAATGAAATTAACTGAATACCTCTGGATAGACTACTTTCCTCTTGGATGGTCTAAGATCTTCAACCTCTTCAATGGCCACATCTTCCAATGCAGGTCGCACTAACAAGTCAAGTAAATCAGGTCGGTCCAAAGACTTGACATATGACTCAACTAAAACAAAAAACAAATTGATTAATAACTTTGAGATGAATTCATTCAACAAAAGTGTTAGTACTGATATTCCTCATAGACACAGTTGCCTGCAGTATATCGGTAGCCTGGCTAGTTAACATGCAGTTCAACTACCAAAAAAGATAACTCAGTACCTGTTTCTGCATGGATGCCTTCTTCACTAGCCTTCCTTTTGTTCTCTTTATCATTAGTTATAAGTAAAACCTTTATTGCACCACCCAGATGATTCTGATACCATTGAGTAGCCACTCGGATAGCTGAATTATCACTTTTTAAAGTTAAACTTCAAAACAGTTTTATCTCTATTGGCAATTCATGAATAAAAACATTAAAGTGAACCAGAAAGCCTATAATAAAGATAGAATAAAATCAAAGCTCATCCAAAAAGCAAACCTCTGTCATTCCTATCATTTTTAGTTTCCCCACTCATTTGCTTAACATAAGTATCCCTGCCAACAACAAAGAGACACAAAGTATTAAATCAAATTTAAGTAGCCCACACGCCATTAACCATGAGCCAAATAGCAAATTTCAAGAGTACACAATTACTCCACTACTTACTCGAAGAGAGAGAAAATGAGAGATATTTTTCCATTTCCAAATGAAATAAGAATCTAATTGTAATCTTGATCAGTTCCAAGAGAAACAGAGTGAAGCTTAACTAGGAAGCTTCTAGAACTAACAAACTACAGTAAGTTACAACAAGTAACAAGTCTACTAGAATCTGACTAAGCCTTTAACAAAATGAAACTGACTCCTATCAACATATCAGACTAAGTAAGTATATCTTATTGTACAGATGCTGTTACATACACAAGGTTCTTAACAATCAATGTTAAGAACCTTGAGGTCACCACCCCAAAAGCTAGCTCAAAGGGTGGGAGTGCCCAAGGCCTTATAAAGGCTACATTAGTTGCCCACACAATCAATGTGGGACTATATATCTCAACACGCCCCCTCACGCAAGAGCCCTTTGGGCGAGAAGCGTGGAATTGCACAGGCCCAATTTTTGGTTTACCTTTTTGTGCTTTTCATTTTAATTCCACTTGAAAGTGGGAGGCGGTGAGGATCGAACTTGTGACTTTGTAGTCACTCAAGCTCTGATACCATGTTAAGAACCTTGAGGTCACCACCCCAAAAGCTAGCTCAAAGGGTGGGAGTGCCCAAGGCCACATTAGTTGCCCACACAATCAATGTGGGACTATATATCTCAACAATTACACCCCCCTTTAAACTCAAGGAGGTCTGGCCAGCTACAAATAGTCAAGAACCTCAAGTTTATCCCTAAGCCCACATAACCTAGGAGCAAAGAAAGGCTTGGTGAAAGTTTCTGCAACCTGGAGTTGAGATGGGATGTGTCTCACCACAGAGACTTGGCAAGGACCTTCTCCCTGACAAAGAACAAATTTAGCTCCACGTATTTTGTCCTGGAGTGCAGTACTGGATTGTGTGACAAGGACACTGTGCTAAGGTTGTCATAGTATATGACTGGTGTCTGAACAGGGACTTTAAGCTCAAGAAACAAGTTCTGCACCCACAATAATTCACATGCACTATTAGCAAGCCTCCTGTATTGAGCCTTTGTGCTGGACTTAGCTATCAAGGGTTGTTTCTTGGACCACCATCACCATGTGGTTGGACAACCTTATCACTCCTCGAGTTCCCATCTAGCTGTTGTGATCCTTCTGTATTCATTCTTTGAGCAAGCAGTAAGTGTATCCACATACATGTCTATGTATATGACATCATTATAACTGGAATAACTACAACTTTATTCAACAACTGGTCTCACAGCTTCAATCAACCATTGCTCTCAAGGATCTATGGGATCTAGACTATTTTCATGGTGTTGGAGTAAAAAGACCAGCCTCTGGTGTACTGTATCTCCATCCAAATATATCAGGGATCTCTTGACCAAGGCCAATATGCATCAAGCCAAAAGCATAGCCACTCCTATGCTATCCAGTTGCAAGCAATCAAAACATGCTCCAACTTTTATGAAGATCTTCATCATTACAGGTCAATTGTAGAAGCCCTTCAACATGCTATTATTACAAGACCTGAAATAAATTGTGTAGTCAACAAAGTTGCCAATAAATGGTTCCTTAGGCATCTTAGAGGTACATCTACCTTCTATCTTACGATGCAATCTACTAGTTCTACTCATTCTCTCACTCTCACAGCCTATTGTAATGCGGTTTGGGCGAGTGATCCAGATAATAGGCATTCCACATCAGGTGCCTGCTTATAGTCCAGGCTCAATCTAGTTTCTTGGTGGTCAAAGAAACAGCAATTGGTTGCTAGATCTAGCAGTGAAGTTGAATACAAGATTTTAGCTCTCTCTCACATTTGCAAAATTCTTGTGGATTCAATCTCTATTATGTGAGCTCCAAGTTCCTCTATCTACTCCCTTGGTCCTTTTTGATAATTAGTTGTTTCTCATGTGCCTACATCAACTCAAATTATTGATACTCTCATCAAGGTTCTCTCCTTCTCAGTTTGCTGGATTAAAAACCAAACTCATAGTTTAGGATTCAGCTTTGCTTCCCCAAACCTCACAAGTTTGAGTGCGTATTAGAGCAAATAGTAGCAAAGTTTTTTTGCTTTCTGTGTATCGTGTACCTACTGCATTTATTATGAGCATGACTGTATTAGATTTCTACCCATTTTATTATGGGTGTTTGTTATAAGTAATTATATTCCTGTCAACTGCTGACATAGCTATGCACTCTTTCTGTAACGTTGATTCGTAGGTCAGATTCACAATAACATAACAATGTTCTCTCGACCACATTTTGTCTCCCTTTCTCTCATTTTTTAATCTCTTTATCTCTGAACCCTTATACTTCCTTAGGCTTCTCTAACTACATTACTTTAGATGATGCTTACTCAAGATTTACATGGATCTATCCCTTAAAACTTAAACCAAAAGCACTCCCTGTTCAAGTGATTCCACACCATGGCCTTCCTCAATTTCATACCCATATTAAGGCTGTCCAAAGTGATTGGGGAGATGAATGAATTTGGGATTATACACAAGGTAATATGTCCCCATACCCATCACCAAAATGGCATGGTTGAAAGGAAACAACTAAAAGTCATTGAAATGGATCTAACCTTGTTACCACATGCTATTTTACCACTAAGCATTGGGATCATGCCTTCTTTTTGCAGTATATCTCATAATTCGTCTACTTACTCTTGCACTGAACTTTGAAGTTCCACACACCAAACTATATCATCATTCTCCTGATTACGAATTAATAAGGGTATTTGGATGTGCGTGCTATCCCTTCTTGAGACCCTATAACAATTATAAATTAGATTTCAAATCTAGGGAGTATCTTTTTTATAGGCATTCTTCTAGCCATGAGGTATTCAAATGCCTAAGTCTTGAGAGAAGCTCTTTATCTCAAGAGATAAGTTATTTAATGAAACTCATTGTCCATATCACTCGCTCTTTGAAGAACACATTGTGTCCTAACTCATTTCCTTGCTCTTTAAATCAGAATCCATCACATTTTCTCGTACCCAATTTCCAAGTGCTTCCATTCCATTGGTTACCTTATCCTTTCCTGCCACTAGGTGCATTTTTATCTTGGCGTATTTTGATGATATGATAATTACTGCAGTGACTCTTCCTTAATCAAGCAGCTTATCATGAATCTGAACTCCATGTTTGCCCTCAAACGGCTAGGCACTCTTGACTATTTCATTCGAATTGAGGTGAAGCACTTGCCTAGCGGTGCTATCCTTTTGTCTCAATCCAAATATATCAAGGATTTCCTCAAACAGACCACTATGCTAAAATCAAAGGATATTTCCACATCCATGCCTACTGGGAGTAAACTCTCCATGTATGATGCCAACTATCCCTTCTCTTTGGCTCGTTTCCCCTCCCTCTCTTTTTTTATTCTCAAACTTCTTTATGGATAGAATTGTTTTTTGGATATGCAACAAAGAGATTGAGCAACCTTGCTGCATTCTTAGTTCTTACTTGTTCTCCTTTGTAATAAGGAAATCCTTGTTTTCCTTGTATCTTGTTATTGTAATCTAATTATATGCTAACTACAAGGTAGTAAATCATAAAAAAAGTAAAGCAAAAAAATAAACCTACATGTGATGTTCATTTAAAAAAACAAAGAAATTCTTCATTGAATTGCTACATATAGCTCTTATCCGATTGTAAGCAGCCATATTCTTGTTCTTAACCTCCTCCAGCACAACGGACAACAAAACCACGTTAGTGATGGCGGGATTCTCCAGCAAATCAATCTGTCATGACAAGACATATTCCAATTCACAAAAACACTTCGTCGCAGCATAACAAACATTTCAAGGTAAGATTAACCTAAAAAAATAACTAAAACAAACCTGGTTGAGAATGACATTGCTGTCGACAACCAGAAGAGTTGAAGCAGAAGCATTGAGGCAAGCAACAGAAGAATCGCAAATGGTGCAAAATGGAGCACCGCAATATATATCATCTCTAAGGTAATGCTCCTTCCTTTGCTGCTCCGAAATATAGACAAACAAAAATTATTATTTAAAAAAAAAAAAAAAAAGTGAAAAGAAGGTTAGGGTTTGAGACACACCACAAAAATTCTGCCATTTCTACTTCTCTTGGCATAGGAATCATTGTGGCGCATCTTCTTGGACGGATATGGTTCTTTGATGGAGCGTGACTTGGAAAGAATAGAAGAACTTGCATCTTCTTCCATTGGGCTGCTTAAAAAGAAAAAATACAAAAAAGAAAACAAAAGTATGAGTATTTAAGGAAAGTGTTGCAAAACTATAATATCAATAGAATTCATCATTTGAACAGTAAGAGAATAAATACCTCATTGTGGTAGCAAATGCAGTGCAGCTGCAAAATTCTTCAAAGTAAAGTAGAAGCTGACATAAGAGAGAACATAACAATCAAATGACGAATTGAAACAAGAAACTAAGGAACTGAAAAGTAAAAATTAAAATACATTGCAAAGAATAAGAAGTAACGTAGTAGAAAAATGAGAAAAGGAAGAAGAGGGAGCACAGAGAAAAGAGGAAGAAAAACATTAGCAAGCCTCTTCAGTTAACGTCTCCATTTATTTTCATCATGCGCAACTCGGAGGAACGAAAGTTATTTTACTGATCAACCCTTACAGGCTACTTTAATTGGTTTCAAGGCGGGACAGAGAAGACAGGAAGAACTAAAACTAATCCGTACGGTTTTGTTTTTTGAGTTTGTAGCTATTAAGGGAAGAAAAGAAATCAAGGGAAGAGTCAAAGGGAATCGAAATGAAGATCTTTTTTTTTTTTTTTTTGGAGTTAAAACATATTAAATTGGTGAAATTTTAATTTTATAAATAAAAAATTTTAAGAATACGAAAGATTTTAAAGAATTTTATGAAAAAATTTAAATTCTTTTCTTATTTTTTTAAACTCATAAATAAATAAAAAAGGATTAATAAAAAAAATTTCTTTTTTTTTCCTTCTAAAACTAACTCTGAACTAAGTCGTTTACAAAAAAAAAAACTCTGAACTAAGTCCTAATTGGTGTGCATAAATGGGAATTGGACGGGCGTTAACCATAAAATTGTATTATTTTCTTCCTACTTTAATAAAAGATACAATTGATTTTTAAAATTTAATCAATTTTATTCTTTTAAATCGATTTTGTTAATTTATAATTTATTTTGGATTTGATGTTTCTTATATTGTAAGAGATAAGATTATTTCTTATACATACATAAAAATATATAAGATTCATATGAAGCCATGTAAAAAATATATAAATATAAGTCTCACACACTTTATATATGTAGTAGATAAAATCAGATATTAAATCTATCATTTTAGATCAAAACCAATTTTATAAGAAAATCAATGCGCTTGTTCACGAAGAACTCTATCGCCAACAAACTTATTTCAACTTTGAGCTTGCCATAAAAAAGATTTCAAGAACAAAAAAACTTCCCCTAATTTCGCAGTATAATAAAACTTCCCCTTCTCAGTAACTAAAATTTATAATTATAAAATAAGAAGTTAAAAATAAATAAATCTTGTCATGTAAATATTTAAATAAATAATAAAATACATTTACGTTGACGGTAGTCAAACAAAAGAAAAAGAAAGACTTCCCTAAGAATAAGATTGAATATTTTTTTTCTAGAAAGAGAAAAAGAGTAAAATATTTGCAAAGACCCAAGTCAAAGTAATGAATGAGAAGTAAATCTTTTCTAGTTAAATTAACCTTTTGGGGGTTATTTAGTAGTACTAAGAGCCTGTTTGGATCCTCTTCTTTTTAAGCTAGAAGCTACTTATAAGCTAAAGCTAAAAAAAAAGAACTTAAAAAAAGAAGCTAAAAGCTGTTTGGTAATCACATAAAAGTTTTAGCTTAAAAATTAATTAAAAGCACATATTTCAAGAAATTTATCTTTCTCTTTCTTTATAACTTTTTATTTAAAAAAAAAAGCACACAATCCAAAGAAAATAGATAAGAGCTTAAAAAAAACTTCTCCTACGAACTTTTAATTTTTAACTTTTTTCTTCATTATAAAAAAAGAGCTTTTCATTATAAGAGCTTTTTCCAAAACCTATTTGGCCTAGCTTATACTTATAAGTACTTCTAGCTTAAAAAAATCCAAACATACACTAAGCATAAAAGTAGAAAACCTCTAACCAAACCATGGCACATGATTTTTCAATAGCTAAGAAGATAAATGGCTCAAAAATCTCATCCCTCTACCAACTTCTAAACCCATTCTCAAAACAAAAAAAAAACGTTCTAGGGAAATATAAACAACGCAGTAAGTAAGGAGAAAAATTTGGGAGGTCCGGATCACATGTTCCTTGCCCAAATTTAGAAGAAAAAAATTCACTTTACTTCTTTATTTTCATTTATATTCCATCTATATCTCCAAAAATTTTCTAATTTTAGAAAAAGGACCATCCAAAATAAATGCTCCCGGTCCACTTTAAATTTTTCCGTAAGAAAGAAGAGAGAAAAGAACAATGGATGTTTACAATGAAAGAATAAGGGACATAAATGGCGAGATGGCAGAGCTTTGCTGGTATTCTTGTCTGGATTCATTTTAGGTAGTGTTTGGTAGAAGATTTATTTTGGGATTGATGAGAAAGTATAAGTAGATATTGGAAAATACCACGTTTAGTTTAGGTTTTTAAAAAAAATACTAGGCAAATAGGATAGATGGAGAAATTACTTGTGTTGATTTTTGGATAAAATTCACTGTTACAGAATACCACTTGAGATGTGGTATTTTGAGATAATTGGGGAAGTGAAAAAACAGGTGCGAAGTTTCTCCCGAACATAGATTTTGCAAATTTAAATAAATTTCTCTGATAATATTTCGGTCAATTAAACAACTTTTTTTACATTTTCCTACCAAACTCACTTTCCAACCATTTCCCTAGTATTCAAAAAATTTCTCCTCAACCAAACGCCCCCTAAGGATTTTCCATTATTTTAGAAAAAAACCCGAATCAATATAAAATAAATAAACTGGGCGCAGAGAATCAACTGAGAAAAAAACCAAACCTTCCTTCCCTGCTCGGGAATCACTCTTGTGCAACGAAATCTCGTGAGTCCTAGGTGTTTTGGTGTGATTGTGTCATGTGTGATCATATATTTTTTAACATGCTCAAGGCTAGCTGGAGTGGATGTTTATATTAATTATATCATAAATAACAATCAATATTTCATAATTAAAATCATAAAACAATATTATCATTTTAAAAATTAATATTAAATTTAATGAGTCAAATAATAATTAATTAAGAGTAGATCTTCTCATGTTAAAATATCACAATTAGTTAAGTCATGTGAAAATTTTATATTTATTTTTTAATTACATTAAATAGATAGAGTCTAATTAAAATTTACAAAGAAAAATACACATAAATTTTCACAAGTTATATTTAGAGAAATAGTTCTCTAATTATTTTGATGATTAATTTTTCTATTTCTTTTTCTTTTTTTTAAAATTCAAATAAAAATATTTGATATTTATTCGATATGATTCATTATTATAGGCCAATCGTGAAGCTTCTTCATATGACATATGTCAATCAAAAAAAAATTTGAAGCGAATATTATAAATGATGAGTTATTTGATATAGTAATGCTTTATTTATAGCTTTAAAAAAATATTAGTCCATTAATTAATGGCGAAAAAGAATTGGATGTTCACAGCTACTATGATGTCTTGTATATTTTTAAATGGCTAATATAAAATCATTAATTAAAATTTATAACAAAACAAATCAAGCGTTAAATAAAATAAAGCTAGTATATCAACATAGTATAAGCTATAAATTAAAATAAAATTTATGCAAATATTGGAAGTTGAGTAAAGCTCATTTTGTTTTCAGTAAAAATTGTGAAATCTCAATTTGTAATAAACAGTTATAAAATAAGTAATTAATAGTTATAAAATAATTTAAATCAATATAGACTAAATTAAACTGAATGAATTAACAAACATAAATTACATTTGATTCATTGACACTCCTAAATTAAATTAACTAACTTAAAATTTCAAATATTTTTAACATAACATAAACTAAATTAAATGAATTTAGTTAACACTCCTAAAAATAATTAATTAATGATTCTAAATTATTTTAAATTAATATACGCTGAACTAAACTAAAATAATTAACAAACCTAAATTTAGTTTAATTCATTAACACTACTAAATTATATTAAATTTCTTAACGGTTACAAATAATTTAACTTAGCATAAATTCAATTAAGTTAAATTAATTAACACTCCTAAAAATGAGTAATTAACATTTCTAAAATAATTTAAATTAATTTAGACTATATTAAATTAAATTAATTAACAAACATAATTTTAATTTGATTCATTAACACTCCTAAATTATATTAAGGGTTTTATTAATCTCCTTCCACATAAGATAGTTATCTTATGTGGTAGAGAGAAAATAGGTGGGTCCCACCATTACAAGAAAAAAAAAAAAGCGGGGTGCGAAAATCGAAGTGAGAGAAAATGAGATAAGTTACCTCGTATAAAAGGAGAGTAATATTTCCCTTATATTAAATACCTTAAAATTTATAAATAATTTAACTTACATAAACTAATTAAATTAAACTAATTAACACTCCTATATTGATTTAAATTAATTAACACACATAAATTAAATTAAATTAACAATCCAAAATTAAATTATTTTAACATAATTTATTTTAACCTAAAATATTCAAACCAATATTATTTTTCTTTAAATCACTTTATTTCGCAATACAAAATTCAATAATTACATTTATCCTATAATTTATTTATATTAACTCATTTAACAAATATATAAATAATGTTATCAATCCTAGGTTTAATTTCTACACTAACAAATTAATAAATATCTAAATACATCATCTACCCTAGGATTTAACTCCTATACTAGTAACAAATATCATCTCATCTATTATATGAAATAACATTATTTAAATTTAAAACAATAAATAAGATTATGCTAAATTTTTTTTAATTAACCTGTGAGAGACAATGGGAACCAATTGGAATACAAGGGATCTATCAAACAAAATAACACAAATTAAAATAAAAACCATAAATAAAATTGTAGTAAAAAAAATTTTAAACTTACCTGTGTGAACCTAAACTGGACGACAAAGGGGAAGGGGGAGGGAGGACAAGGAGACAAAAAAAAGGAAGAGGGAACGAAACGATTTTCACAAGGGGGGACCAGAGAGAATAGGAGAAAGGGAGGGGGGACTGGTTTTATAGACGTGGGGATCACTAAAATCGCTGAACAGTGCATCGGGTTTGCCACGGTGGCGACACGTGGCACACATGTATTGCGTGGATGTACGGTTGCCATGTGTTGCAAAAAATCGGCAAGTGTACCGATAGCACAAGTAATATAATAGTAAGTAAAGTAACGCCTCCACAGGGATTGGGTCGAATATCAATTAATTGTTCCTTTTAAGAATGGATGAACAAGAGTTGGTTTGAAAGTAATGGTCGAATATCAGAGAGAAATTTGACGAATTTAAAATAAAAGGTTTTTGAGAAAAATATTGTTAAAAGCTA